TCCACGCCAGCCTCCGGCCCTATTAACCCTGGCTTGCTACGCAAACATACTTTCACACTAACAAATGTTCAAGTCACGGCCGCGCCCATCTCACGGGGGGCACGCGGTAAGCGTCTTCGGTTCCGGCAGTTCAACTATGGGAGCGTCGGCAGCCCACATCCATCCGGGATACACCTTTTATTTGTAAGAAACGCTCGCTAGCAGAAAAATTAAACATTTCTGGGAGCCAGAGAAGAGTTTCGTGTCATCTGCTGTCCTCGGAATTCTGGTGAGTGGTCCACGAGATGATTGAAAGTCAGCAATTGGGTGCGACAACTCGATTAGTGAAATACCCTCACCGTGGTAGGGGGCCTTTCTTCCTCTTATTAGAAGGTGCTCTTCTGGATCTGTAACCACTACTCGATCGCCCACGGGTAAGAAATTGGGCTTGCATCTGTCCAACAACCTTTTCCAGTCTCCAATCTCTTTTTGTTTCGTGACGTGAAATTCAGGTCATTCAAGTGTGTCCTTGCATATAAAATGGAACCTGGGTTAACGAGTTTAATCCGTTCCAGAACCGAGCTCGCCATCTGAAACGTTCGTCTTGCGAAATGCAGCCAATCAAACTGCACCATTGCACTGATTGACTGCAGACAACCAAGGCCCCACGCCCTGCGAGTAAGACTCAACGGTGGGAGCAGACACGCACATGCGCTCGTTAGCTGAACGGAAGCTCGTCAATAGAAACACTTTCTCTGCTAGTGGCTCGCTCGTTACCTGAAATACTCGTAGATGGGGCTGCTCGCCGCCCGATGCTACGCTGTATATATGATAGTAAAACGCTCATCGATCTGGTTATGTACCATGCTCGTCTGGTTGTGCTTTGGAGCTCAATCTAGAGCCCTCGCAGGTAGTCACATAGCGATTTTTCTTGGTCGGTTTCACTTCGTCGTACACATTTACATACCCGTTTCTAACTGGCTTTACTCCTGGCTTTCGCATTTTCCCACGTACAGTTGTGACGCAGTTATCTTTTTCAACCCGCACGATCTAGTCCCCAAACGTATGCAGGCCTCCACGATCAAGAACAAGTTGACCGTGAATGCCATCACGAAGGACCTCCTGAGTGATAATCCCTCTCAGGCTGAAATCGACGACTGGTTCTCCGAAGTGACTGATGATCCAACACCTCCCAAACAACTGTCAGAGCGCCATCGTGATGATAGCAGCGACTTTGACGAGGAGTTAGACCAAACCGACTCGCCTGTGGTAAGTGTTTTTTTTTGGTCTCCCTACCGTTGTTGGAATGTGTTTTATGTCTACCGAACACTCAGGGGGGCCTAACTCTCTTCGCTGTTCGACATCTGACAACATCCAAGGTCGCGGTGCCAGAAATGTTAGGTAGTCCGTTGCCATAGCAATGCCAAGTCAAGGCCAACAGAAGCGAATGCGCTTTCTCGTAGGTACATAATGCTTGAGCGATTAACAGGCTCGTCCCCGTTTTTTTTCAACTGTGTCATTGCGCTGTGGTCCTCCAGTTTTGCTTTCAGTTTTTACAAAGTGCTAGATTGAAAACTTTAGAGGAAGGGAAAAAAAAGTATTCAGCTACAAGGAATGGTACCCTTTTTGGCGAAAGCCACCCACGTGGGTTTAAAAAGACCAGAAGCGGTTTGTACGTTTTCTGTCGTGCGCACTATACAGAGAAAGGAAAAGGGGGAATAGGCGGAGGAGAGCGGTTTGCCACTCAAACATTTTCATGATGAAGACTCCAGTTTCAAGGTTTTTTTTTCATGGGGTGTAATGGGCTATTGTTCCGATGCACTGGAACCCCTTGCGTGGTAAATGAGATAGCAATTATAAGGCGCGCGGCTTTTATGAGGCAGTAAGACCAGTCAACTGTCAGGGCAGGAAGCCTTTCCTCGTGTGCGCAGCGCGTAACACGTGGACGTGTTGTCGAGTTATTCTCGGAAATTTGGACCTCCACCAGTGCAGGGCGTGTCTCGAGCTTTGTCAGCGGTATAATTAGCCCCCATAGCCGTGACACGGAAGTGATGGTCTGTCTCGCCTGGCCCATTCGTATTTATTCAAGAAACCTATACTACTCTCTTTGTGCAAATACAGCAGGTCGCCGGTTATTAAGCCCACGGTTAATAAGCCCAGCCGCGTATTAAGCCCAGTTATTGAGCCAAGGTTAATGGGCCCAGCCGCGTATTAAGCCCAAATCAGCTTGGGACGGAATTTTTGCATAGCAAAATCGGCCGGCTACAAAGCCCAGTTTGCCAACAGGATAGATTGAGATTCTCATCTCTCTGCGTGCCCAACTGGTTACG